TGTTTATTGTCGGAAGATCCCTCAAAAAGTATAAATGAATGCCTTTTGGAAAAAATCTTCGTTCATAAAGAACAAATTTCGTATCTTCGGTAAACACGCATTCAATGCCAAAACCGACCTGCAATAAAGGTGAAAGGCATTGGGCGAAAAACTCTTCGCATACAAGTGGGAAATTAACGTCCCTTGGCAGATACTTGTGTGGCAAAGTCATTCCTCCTTTGCTGTGACATCATTTAACCGAATTTCCCTATACATATGCAATTATTGAGGATTAGGTTCGTGGTCGTCTTCAGAAGGTACGCAACTGCCAGCGCACAAGGACGTCAAAATGATATAGGAAGGGCCAACATCTTTTTTTTTTTCACAAACACTTTTGGATTGTCAGTTTGAGATTAAATTAGAGTGATCAGCAAGACAAACAGGTATGCAAATGAATATACTTTCATATCAACCCAAAACCGAGAAGATTCCTAACGCACGCTACATACGATACCACGCATTTCACCAACATTGCATTATCATAATCTAGCTCTAAAGGCACGAAAGATGTAACGACGAGTTTCTAAATTCGATAACAATTACTATGAGTTCCGAAAAGGCTTTACGGAACGGTTTTGTTCCGGTTTTACTGAACCTTCAACGAAATATGTACAAGGTATACCCACCATACACGCGGGCCTGTTCGGCGAGTATGCCCGAGACCTAACGTCAGTGGCGGGCAAACGACTGCCTACTGACAGCCAAGGTCTGAATAAGACAACAGCCGACTTGCAAATGGACCGGCAATTTAGCCAGTAGTTTCCCATCACTGATATCACCCATCAGGTATGCCCATGGATCAAGGCCTGGACATGCTTCTTACATGCCATAGTTAATTGTCCTTACAAATTTTATCTTTGGTTTTCATTTCAGATATATATATTGTGGTTGAAAACTGGCGAGGACATGCATTGTGAACATTTTATAAAGTTTAGGTATGCTTAAAACTCCTTAGTATTACTTTTAAATGCCACAGCAAAACTTTACATTAAACATCAAGTCATTTATTAATTGTTGATCATCCATGAAATATCTCAATAGTATATATTCACATTCTTATTTTACATTTGTTATTCATCATATTTTCATCTTCATTTTCCTCTTCATGTACATCTTTTTCACATTCACTTCTTTTTCATCTATGAATAAAAATTTTCATTATCATATCAGCATTTGAACTCATTTAAATTCATCTCTTAAGGCTGTACAAGTATAAGGATTTGTGTAAAAATAGTATTATAAAATAATTTGAATTTCTCCATCTCATGAAAAATTGAATCTAATTTCAAAAGTATTTTTTTAAATATTTGATTCTCACCAGCAAAATCCTCTATTCAATCTTCAGGACATTTGAAAAGGGAAAGAAAAGACAAAGATTCCACAGAGCTTTTATCATAATTTATGAAGCACTGTAATGCTTTACAGAATGTGTACTATAACAAAAGGTACCTTCGCTAATTCTTTGGGTGAGATTACGACGAAAACTATAAAGATTTAAATAAAAAAAAAACTCATTAATGATCATAAATCGTGGTGATCACAGACAATAACCGGTACTGCCAAATTAAGTATTTCAAATCCTCAGAATAGAAAGCAACAACAGATTAATAAAATAATCATTTACTACTATTTTCTAACTTCCAAAAAGAAAATAATGCCCACAGAAACATCTGTCCCATAGAGTATATAAAATGTGTCCATCTTAAATCTTCTCTAAAAAATGGAAACCGTGGTACGTTTTTTCTTTTAAAAATATAATACAGCAATTCTGCCAGTCGCCGAGATGTTGCTGACGTTGGACAGCCCAGCATCTTATAGCCTATAATTATCACACTGGTTAAGGATTTGTACTCCATGCCTCGGGTCAAATGGCCTTCACTTGTCACTTGTTGCTTTTTTGCTGTCCCTGCTGAGTTCATCTCAGAGAAAAAAAAAAATCTATGTCTAAATACTGGAACTTAACAAATGTACGAACCTCAAAGAAGGGGGAGTCCGTACACTATAGATATATACATATATATTCCTGAATCCTACACAGGTGCACACACAGAAGTAGGGCTAATTCCATACAATCAAAATAAGGTTTCTAATTTTAAAAGATAAAGGAAAGGGAGACGGCACTTTCCAACACCATCTCGTCGAGGTTCAACAGGTTGTTCTTAAAGCATGAATCTGGTCAACTTTCTCCCAAGTGGGCACAAAGTGATTGGTCTATGCAGTTTTAACAGCTCGAAAGACTCTTCATCAGCCTGAGACACAGGGAGAAGAGAGAAAAAAAAAAAAAAAGAATGAAAATGCAAAATGATGTTGGCAGTGCACGCTCCTTACCAATGAATTTCATCAAACCAATGCACATCCAACTAGATAAACATCCAGTTATCAAACTTTCAAAATATTAAAAATACAATTGAGAAAGGAGAGTTAGATGTAAAAATAGGAATAGAGACATAAATGAAGATAGGGATGGAAACAAAGAAAGATATAAAAAATAGAGAGATTCAAAGAAAAAACTCACAAATCATTATCATTACTATTGCTATTATCCTCATCATGATTATCATCATTATCATTATAATTATCATTATTTTAATAATGATGATAACAGTAATGGCAATATTATCAATAACAATAATAATAACAACAGCAATAGCAATAATAATAATAATATTAATAATAATAATAATAATAATAATAATAATAATAATAATAATAATAATAATAATAATAATAATAATAATAATAATAATAATAATAATAATAATAATAATGATAATAACTATAATAATAACAATAATAATAATAATAATAATAATAATAATAATAATAATAATCAAAATAATAATCAGAATAATCAGAATAATAACAATAACAATAACAACAACAGCAACAAATGTAAGACTGACATTTCCTTTAATAACGTGAATTATCATTACAAAGTCCGTGAGTAACCAAAACACAAACCAACACATGATCATAAATGCTGAGATCAAAACATATCTAAATATCCAGCTTAAAGTATTTTTTACATTATCATCCTAAGTAGGATACATAAGAAGCAACATATGCAATAATCATCAATGAAGAAGAAGAAGAAGAAGAAGAAGAAGAAGATAACAAAGACGAAGACGAAGACAAAGACGAAGACGAAGACGAAGACGAAGACAGAAGAAGAAGAAGAAAAAAAAAAAAAAAGGAAAAATTTTCGGAAATGAAGCCTAGCACTCGCCATTTGCGAAACAATAGAGTACCATAGTTTGATCTGATCCTTATTGTATCTATGATGTATAAAAATAAAGACAAAATCTTAGAGTCATTATAAAATGGAGAGGATACAAATACATATATAAAAAGAGGAGAGAGAGAGAGAGAGAAAAAGAAAACATTCATTCATGATTTAAATATATAGATTCAAATGGCAGGACTCTTATCAGAAAAGAAGCCTCACCAGACAAGAGTTCACCTGAGCAGAGCTGCGTTTCATGAGACCCCTAGAACGGAAGATCGAGAATTTATTTTGAAGCTAAATTTTTCTCTAGGGCATTCAAGAAATTCTGATTTGGAAAAGTGACAAGAAAAAAAAAAAAAAAAAAGGAAAATGGGAGTGGAAGAATGAACATGAAAAGGAGAAGAATAAGAAGGAGAAGAAGGAGAAGGTGGTGGTGGTGAAGAGGGAGAAGAAAGAGAAAGAAAAGGAGAAGAAGAGGAAGAGGAAGAGGGAGGTGGAGGTGGAGGTGAAGTGGAGGTGGAGGTGGTGGAAAGAGGAGGAGGAAGAAGATGAAGAGTTGAATTAGGTTTGAAAAGAGTAGAAAGGTACACGAGAAAACAGAACAAAAGTAACACACAAACCAAATGCACATATCCTTTCCTATACTCATTACCTTACTATATCCAATGGAATACACAAGTTTTGATTACAAAATTCTCTTAAATATAAAAAGGACCTTCCTTCTCCCAAACAGAAACACTGCATATAAAAATAAATAGATGAAAGAATAATAAACCGAGAAAGAAAGTTGGTGGTGTGAATGTGGGCAAAATCTGAAGCTTCGCCCTGCAATCATAGACAGATGAACCAGAAGACGACATGCAGGCAAGCTAACAAGCATCTCTCGTCCCTCCAGACAGAACTCGACAAACGTGAAGCAGCCATCAAGCGAGACCTGAGAACACCTGGTCCCAACGACGTGTTTTTCTAGACCTAAGAGCCACTCGACGATGAAGAGCTTTGTGCTTCAGCTTTGGCTAGGCCTAAGGCAGCTTTCAGCAACGCCACCACGTCGCCTTTTTTGTGTTGCTCATCTGGAAAAGGATGTGGAATAAACTACAGTTGCATTTCCATCTTCTGACAAAGAAAGAGAGGGAGAAAGAGAGGGAGAAAGAGAGGGAGAGGGTAAGGGAGGAAAGAGGAAGGGAAAGGGAAAGGGAAAGGGAAAGGGAAAGGGAAAGGGAAAGGGAAAGGGAAAGGGAAAGGGAAAGGGAAAGGGAAAGGGAAAGGGAAAGGGAAAGGGAAAGGGAAAGGGAAAGGGAAAGGGAAAGGGAAAGGGAAAGGGAAAGGGAAAGGGAAAGGGAAAGGGAAAGGGAAAGGGAAAGGGAAAGGGAAAGGGAAAGGGAAAGGGAAAGGGAAAGGGAAAGGGAAAGGGAAAGGGAAAGGGAAAGGGAAAGGGAAAGGGAAAGGGAAAGGGAAAGGGAAAGGGAAAGGGAAAGGGAAAGGGAAAGGGAAAGGGAAAGGGAAAGGGAAAGGGAAAGGGAAAGGGAAAGGGAAAGGGAAAGGGAAAGGGAAAGGGAAAGGGAAAGGGAAAGGGAAAGGGAAAGGGAAAGGGAAAGGGAAAGGGAAAGGGAAAGGGAAAGGGAAAGGGAAAGGGAAAGGGAAAGGGAAAGGGAAAGGGAAAGGGAAAGGGAAAGGGAAAGGGGTGAGGATAAGAGAAGGAGAAAGAGGGGGGAGAGGGGGGAGAGGGAGAGGGTAGAGGGAGAGGGAAAGGGAAAGGGAAAGGGAAAGGGAGGGTAAGAGGGATTGGGGTTGGGGTGGGGAAGGGAGAAGAAAAGGGAGAGGGAGAGTGGGAAAGGGAGGAGGAGTGGAATAGGAAGAGATAAACAGATATTTAACAAACAAGATACCACAAATAATAAGACAGACAGGTAATATACCAGAGAAAAAAACTGGTAGCACACAAACCTCCAATGCCAGTAACATCACGTTCCAACTGGAGCTTAGCCTGTGCAATCTGCAACATGCCCTCTTCAATGGAGCCCTTACTAAGCAAGCGTACGATCTGTACAGGCCTGGAATAAAAGACAAAGGGTATGAGACAAATTCTTCTGTTTGAAAGCTCTTGAACATATGGAAAACCTCAAAAGTATTTCCTGCAATTTTACTCTTATTAAAGCAAGAGTATTTTAAACATTCTTTGGTAGTAATTTTGACCTCTACTAAAGTCCACATACTCTTGCTTTGAGTTGCTAGAAAAAAAGGTTGCCTTTCAGAGTTATTTTATTCATGAAGTTTGGCCTCAACTTCTAGACAAAATAAAATGCTAGCAATACCCCAACTTCTAAAGTTCTATGAGCCAACTTTACAGTTACTAACTGAATAGGCGCCCTGTCCTATTCGCCACCATAGTGAAAGGCCTATAAAAAACCAGCAGGATTTTTTTCCTTTTTTGTTATGAATGAGACATACAGTGTCCTCTAATATACCTGGTCGCGTTTAGCAAGGTTCCTTCAGCCATACCCTTGATATCACCTACATACCCTCAATGCCCCTTGAACATCCTCCTCTGCCTAAGCCAATCAGTTACTTTTATGTATCAGAGAGGTTTCATAATAATAATAATAATAATAATAATAATAATAATAATAATAATAATAATAAAAATAATAATAATATTTCAAATTATGATTTTCGGAAAAATCTGCTCACATTTTCTAAACTGTACCAAAATCTAAAACTGGGCTTTGAGGTACAATGAAAATGTGTTTTTCCTTGACACAATAATATACAGGCAGCTTCATTGCATTTCTTCCTAAGGGACACACAACACTTACTTAGTCTGGCCAACCCTGTGGCAACGGTCCTCAGCCTGCTTGTCATTGTAGGGGTTGAAGTCTATGTCATGGAGAATCACGGTATTGGCTGCAGTGAGGTTGATGCCCAGGCCACCAGCACGGGTTGAGAGCAGAAAGATGAAGATGTCTTCATTCTCCGTAAACTCATCAATCAGTTCTTGTCTGTAAATTGGTAGTGATTGTTAATACATCTTTACTCTCCCCATCTACTTTTCTTGAAAGAAAGAAAGAAAGAAAGAAAGAAAGAAAAAAAGGAAACTGCTAGGAAAGTAGAAACATCTTGCCAGTACTTAGAAAGAAAGAAAGAAAGAAAGAAAGAAAGAAAGAAAGAAAGAAAGAAAGAAAGAAAGAAAGAAAGAAAGAAAGAAAGAAAGAAAGAAAGAAAGAAAGAAAGAAAGAAAGAAAGAAAGAAAGAAAGAAAAAAAAAAAAAAGAAGAATAATAATAATAATATTTCAAATTATGATTTTCGGAAAAATTTGCTCACATTTTCTAAACTGTACCAAAATTTTAAACTGGGCTTTGAGGTAAAATGAAAATGTGTTTTTCCTTGAAACAATAGTATACAGGCAGCTTCATTGCATTTCTTCCTAAGGGACACACAACACTTACTTAGTCTGGCCAACCCTGTGGCAACGGTCCTCAGCCTGCTTGTCATTGTAGGGGTTATCTTGACATATTTTTCAATGATGTCCAACATCATCACAAACTGGGAAAATATCAACACTCTAGATCCTGTGGAGAGAGAGAGAGTGAAAGATTTTCATAAGTGGCTGTAGTTCATCACCCTGACCAACAAAACTCAATAAAAAACAACATGTACAAACTTCAAAGCTGTCCTGAATACACTTAACTGCTACTCTGCACCTACAGGAATTATCTTTGCAATCTGTAATGCTACCAACTTACCTTCCTCCTTCAGCTTAGGAAGAATCTCGTCCAACTGCTCAAACTTGCCCGAACTGAGGATGAGTTCATCAGACATCTGGTATTTCCTGACAGCCTAAAAAAAAAAAAAAAAAAGAAGAATAATAATAATAAGAAGACAAATATAAGTTGATATAAATGACAAATGATTCCCACTTCCTATTTCTCTAAAAGATACTCCTAAAAAATATATATATATAATCAATCATTTTAAATCTTACCAAAAAATTTTACTTACGGGGTACATGAGACACGTTGAGTGGATCTCGAAGTCAGACATGACAGAGAAATCTTCGACAATATACTCTAACACGGACTCCCGGTGCGATGTCTTCTTTAGGACCTTGGATATTTCTCTTAGCTTGCTATCATCATAGTACTTTCTGCACAATAAAAAAAAGGAAGTACATTTACATACAAGATCAGTATTATTATAAAATCAGAAAACTGAAAACTGTTTACTATGCTATCCCTCTCATCTTTAGCAAGTTTGTTGGACAGCAACACACCCTCTTAACCAGAAATTCATCCTCTAAACCAACCCTAAACAAAGAGGCTCCAATCTTTCCACCGGGAAAATACATCTTGCTAACCCGTCTTGCCTTTGCCCAAATTATTCACCCATTCTATCTCACTCCTTAGCAACCTTCTTCAAGTCAACCCACCTAGTAAGTAGTGGATGGTTTGCGATTTTCCTGAGGGTCATCACCATGTTGGAGCTGCTATCCACATCCGAGCTCTTTGTCGGGGACTTCCCTATGGCCTCCAGCTCCTCCAATTCTGTCAGGTTCTTCATGTTCATCTGTTCAATCTCAATCTGGAAGGGAATTTAATAATAATTATTACCATATTAATGATAACAATTATGATGATAGTACAATAACACCATTGATAACAATAATATTAACAATAGCTACAAGTACTGTTACTACTACTCTACTCTACTCCACTTCACTCCCACCAATAATAACAGTATTGGTAATATTAATAATAATATATAATTTACACTAACAATTAATCCAAAATAAATGCATTGATTTTCAAAGAAGTCATTGTATATTTTCAGATCTGTATTAATCCTTTCAGAATGAGTCCTTCCAATTGGTGCATGTCAATGTTTAGCCATTTTTCAGGCATGTGTAACCCTTTCCTTGTCATGGTTGCCATCAGACAAAACTTTTTGCTGAATAAAATATAGAATATTCACTGAATTGCAATATGGTTATGCACTGAACAATGACTATGTTTTAGAGTACAACACCCTTGTTCATCTAAACCATACCTACCAATCATATAATGCCAAAGCAGTATAATTATTTCATTCCACACTAAAATAGGATTTGAAGATATTCCACATCACAAATGTTAATGAAACCTGACCTTACTGCACTGGAATCTACATAAGTGACAAAATTTCTACAGCAATAACAATAAACTAATACAATTGATGAAAAACTTAAACAAGAAAGGATATATGCATATATAATGAAACAGTATGCCACTAAAAACCAATAATACTGAGACTGCAGGAAACAATTACTAAAACAAAAATATTCATAATAGCAGTCACACACACACACACACACACACCTGTCACAGCCATTCACTCAAGATATGCCCATATCACACTTACCTGTATCCTGTTTTGGAGGAGCTTATCTATTTTGTTAATATATATAACAGATCTTATTTTACCATTTTACTTCTGATACTGAAATAATTCATCAAGTTTCACACTATTATGAAAAAAAAAAAAAAAATCACAAAAAATTAAAAACAAAAGGTCACAATTTCGAACAACGATTTTTGTCTAACCTTTCATGCCGCAATATTTCAACCTTATCTTTCAACTCTTTTCATCTGGACCATTCACAAGCAACATGCAGAGCAGACAACCCCACTTCTTATTAACAGCTAAACATCTCTTACTCACCTGATTCTGTCTTGCTTTTCTACTGAATGCTTCTACAGTTTCAGTGTATATTTTCTGTTGCCGTTTAGACATGGGGGCATATCTGACCTCATCTGTCTTCTTTGGTAGGTCCTAAGAAGAAACCAAAAATGGATTATTAATCAGTTCCATTGCAATCTGCAAGCAATACCACCCCTATATATAGAAAATAATTCATATTAGATTTACCATTAAAATCAGAGATCTAAAATCTATAATTTACAATTCATCATTCATCTATAGTTCGATATTTTCCACATATGCTTCAATTGTCTTTACCTTAAGTACATCGCACTTTAATCTCCGCAAGAAGAAAGGTTTCATGATTCTTTTGGCTTGTTCTATCCTCTCGCGCTCAAACTTCCCCTTGCTGCCGCTATCATCTGATTTCTGTTGAGCGTACACACAAAATCAATCAGAAGAAGAGTGACCATGCTTTAAAAATTATTGCCACATTACAAAAAACATGCACTAAAATTATAAAATATACACCACAGCAAGAAAATATATCTATAAAAGAAACCATGAACACAAAAATAAATATAAAACAAATGCCACATGATAAAATAATATCCTGAGAAAAGTAAAAAAAACAACAACAACAAAATGGAAACCACAAATACACACACAGAAAAAGAATACATTACAATTGCATAAATGTCACCAATGCAACACATTCTAATTTTGCTGACTGTCACATTCAAGATGCTGTATTAACTGAACCTTCACACCGTCTTATACTCTAAAAATCAGATAAACATCTAAGTCAGCAGATACCCAATTACTCACAGGAAACATTGAAAACACTCTCTTCAGCTCTTCCTTCTTGCTATCGAACAGCTGTGGCATGACAAATATGAGAATGGACATTAGTTCTACGAGATTGTTTTGTAGAGGAGTACCAGTAAGCAGTACACGACGCTGACCCTGGAAAACAAACAAAATCAATGATAAGAAAGGCACTTCTGATAAAACAGCATATATTACACCACAAGCGTAAGAGCAAAATGATAGTAATAAC